GGGGGGGGGGAGTAAACAAGGTGCATTATGGTCTATGTGAAAATAGTGAATATAGTTGAACCTCCTTTAAGCTACTAGTCAAAGGCAAAACACCAAGTTGGTGGTCGCCGATTTACAGATTCCTATATATTTTAAGTCAACTAGGCTGATACTTGTCCATTCTTGGTTCGTTTGTAAGAATTGTTTAATTGACAAATCCATCACCACATAACAACCAAAGATGATTCCCGTGTACTGTAAATCACACTTTAACAAGAATAAACTTGATAAGGTCTGGCAGTCATTTTTCCGTTTACCCTGAACGCAGTCCGTTTCAATCTTCCCCACTTTTACTCCATCCATAAGATTAGCTTTTCTGTAATTCCCTCATGTTTTTCCCATCGGCCAAACAATCCACATTCGATCATTGTATTAATGTGTGAAAAAACGATATGCAATGTGTAGAATGAGAATGGTGTTTTACAAAGCGACAGTTTTTGAAACATTGCTTTAGGCGATATTTTCCTTTGTCTGTTGTACTTTAATTCATTTTTGATGCAGGTGACAATAACCGTATTTTGCCCTCACTGTTTTTTTTTCTTATTCACCCTTCTGGTTTATTATTATTATTATTATTATTTTTTGGTCAAAGGCTGCCACGATAGAGGGATGTTCCGTTTTAAGAGAATGGATACCTTTTATTGTTAAACAGTTTAAAGGAGACCCAGGAGAGACTACACGACAAATGTTGGTAAGTATTACCTTACTGTTACTTATGTTCGCGGGGCTTAACGATCAAGATTTTCAAAACTTCAAACTGAAAAATTCAAAATAAAAAAACCGTTAGAAAGCAGGGTCTATTTGTGCGAAAATTAGCGACAAAACAATCGATGGTACACTTTTTGAATAAATATTAAAGCAATTATTGAATTCGGCTTGCGTCTTATGTAAGACGCGTCTTATTTTTCCTCGTATAAATAGCCATAATTTGTTCCAAGGTGCCCTCCGACGTCGACTTAGTCCTGATGCAGAATCGTTTTCAGTAAACCTTCCAAACGTAGTTCACTGGTTTTCCAATCTTATCAGGGTTGACCGTTTACTTGCCTAACGAGGCGAATGAATCAAGTAAATTGGAAATTGCCAACGGAGCAAACTGAATTTCCTTTTCATTTAAATTTTTCTCCCGCGCTCTTCTATCCGAACGCCTGGACAAGCATTGCATTGCATTTAAAGTAATTGGATGGTAAATACCATGTATAGATCATTTTCACTGTCATGCAACAAAAAATAAATTGGAAACCGTCCAGTGGAAGTAGCCAAGAAAAAGAAATGCTATAAAAGACTAATATTTAAACAATTTGTCCAAGTCTCAGGTCTTTGTGGCCCACAGTTTGTGCGTTATTTGCCGAAACGTTTCACACACCTTTGTAGAGCTTTGTATGGAGACGCCATATTGGTGTACCGTTTTGGTGCACCAATATGGCGGCCGGAAATAAAAAAAAAACATCTGGAGTTCACCTTTTCCATAAAAGCTCTTTCTCTTTACTTGAGAACTAGCATACGCGCGCATAAACATATCTTTTAATACTTGAAATGGTTATAGTGCTGAAAATCAAGAGGAGAGACTTTTTTCAACGAGACGTCATTCCTATATTTTTGTTGTCACGCATTTTGAAAACTCGGAAGTTCAAATTACTGTATTTTCGAAATGAAACACGCAACGGGAATGGAAACTTGTACAAAGATTTGCTTTTTGTTTATCTCCAACCTAGTGCCTGAACCTAGTGTAAATAAGAACTCGTAAAACCTCGCTATTTTGACTTTACAATTTGATGACGTCACTGTGAAACCATCTATACTGAAATATGCTGTTCCTTGTTGGTTTTATTTCTAACGCAGAGCTAGAGAAACCAAAGCTTGAAACTGAATTAGTAACTAAATAGAACTTTATTTTGCAAGGATGCGTCGATTTTGCAAGAGATGTTTGAATATGTGTGTGGGGAAATCCGTACGCATGGTCTTAGCTTGCCAAACAAAGCCCATGAAGAAACAAAAGACCTCAGCAGTTTAAGGACCTCGTCCAACAATTTTTGGGTTCTCAGGGTTGTCCTGGGAAACATTATTTTGGACCCTACATGGATGAGAGCATTCAACGCTAATTTTCGATTCAGGTAAAATTTGCTAAGGACGCTAGCGCACATTTCTTAGAAACTATGTGACCTCTCAGGTTTGATCCTTACCTAACGTCGTCGGTAGCAAAGATATAGAAAACCGGTCACCAAAGCTATATTAGGTAAAGATGAAAAGTTGTTGTCACCAGCGTAATAATAAGGTACGTTTATTATTGGGGGGGGGGGGGGGGGGGC